GGGAGCCCGATGCGGGACTCGATCCCGGGACTCCAGGATCATGACCTGAGCCGAAGGCAGTCGCTCAACCAACTGAGCCACCCAGGCGCCCCTTTCCAGATGTTTTTATGAAACTAGTATTACCCTGATTTCAAAGCCAATTGAAAGTGGTGTGCACAAAAAAGAAAACTACCAGCTGATAACCTCATAAATCTAGATTGCAAAAGTTGTTAATGAAATGTTAACAAATAGAATTGAGTACAACTACATCTTGGCATTATATAAAAAATATACACCATGATCAAATGGAGTGAATTCAGGTGGATGCAAGATTGGTTCATTATTCAGAAGCCAATCAATGTAATGCACCCTGGTAACAGGTTAAAGAAAAATTATTTATGATTACAGCAGTTGATGCAGAAAACTTAAAAATTTTTTTCTGTTTTTATTTGATACAGAAAGCTTTTGACAAAAATACATCACCCATTCATAATAAAACTCAGAAAACTAGAAATAGAGGGAAACTTCTTCAGTTTGAAAAGGTTATCTACAAAAAACCTACAGCTAACATAGAGGTGAAAAACTCTGAGATTGGGAACAAGGCAAGGATGTTCGCTTTCACCACTGCTGTTCAACATAATACTAGTTTTAGCCAGTGCAGTAAAGAAAGAAAAAAAGGAATACAGATCAGAAATGAATAAAACTGATCTTATATGCAAATGGCATGATGTTTGTAGAAAATCCATTTTAAAACTCAGCACTAATAAGTGAGTTCAACAAGGTTGCAGTATACCAGATCAACATAAAGATCTAATCATATTTTTGTACATTAGTAATGAGTATGTAGAAACAATTTTAAAATCTCCAATTATTTAAAAAATACTAGTTTTGTGAAAATTTCAAAACACTGATGGAAGAAATCAATGCACCCTGGTAACAGGTTTCTCCATAAATAAATGGAGAAACATTGTCTTCCAGTCTATGGATATAACATAATGAAGATGTTCTCTTCAAATCTCTTTGTATATAATTAACACAATTTCTATTAAAATTCTAGCAAGACTTTTTTCATAGATATACACAAGATTATTCTAAAATATATTTGAAAAGTCCAACTTAAGAATAGATAAAACAGTTCTCATAATGAATAATAAAGGGAGGGAATCATTTCACCTGATTTCAAAACTTACTATATAGCTCCATTAATCATAATTGTTAATGTCAGAGGGAGAGACACATAGATCAGTAGAGAATAAAGGACTCAGGAATAGCCCTATACAAGTATAGCTAAGTGATTTTTGACAAAAGTGCAAAAGCAGTTCAGTGTAGGATGGATACTTTAAAATGTTCCTGAAGCAGCTGAGTACCCATAGGTTTAAAAAAAAAAAAAAAGATTAAAATGGATCATAGATTTAAACAAAACATTAAAGCACACAATTGTTAGAAGGTAACAGGTTTTATTTTCAAGTTCTAGGGCATGGTGAAATG